GATCAAGTGTCAAATTTTCTTTTTGCTTGAGGAAAAATAAATTTAAGAGACCGATAGTGTAACAAAAAAAAAATCAAGTATTTTATTTTTATTTTAACTTAAGTAAAAAAATCAGACAGAAAATAATTAAATTAAATTAAAATTGCTCAAAGTAAACTTAGTGCATGAGACAGCACCAGACATTTTTAAAGAAATCAAAAAATAAAAATATCGACTTGTTTATTTCGGTTTTTCTTTCCTCTCAATTTAGAATTGCAAAACTATAAGCTAAGCAAGACTGAATTCTTTTTTTTTTTTTTTTTAAATTGTCTCTTCTCTCCTTTTTATCAATTTATTGTTAGAGATCGACTTTAAGAATAATTTTAGAAAAATATTTTTTTTTTAAAGTAAACTTATTTTTGTTAAAGTAAACTAATGAAATAGTAATTTTTTTGTTGTATTTGAATATAAAAATTAAAATTATTAATAATTAAAAATATGCGTCATTAAGAAAACATCAGATTTTTATTTATTTTTATTATTTAATTATGAAGAGTTAAATTTTTTTTAACTCTTCACTTTTTCGATGTTTTTTTTACCTCAATTAACAAAAAAACAAGCGATTGTTATTCAATGACAAATTCAATTAGTGCTTTTCTTAGATTATTTATGTTGAGAAGACCAAATATTTGATCGTTTTCAGCTTTTATTTAGTGCTTCTTTTTAGGTTTAATATTTTATATGAATGGTGATAACAAAACCAGCCTTTTAAAGTTAACTGAAAAAGACATATACAGTTAAAAACGATTCGATATTTTTTTAAATTTTGTTTTTCATAAAATCTTTTTTGAACAAACATTAAAAAAACAGAAAGAAACAGGCAAAAAATGTGGTAAATAAATAACGTCATTCCACCAAATAGACAACGATTAAAAAACAAGGAATGTTTTTTTTTCTTACCAGTTTAGATCTGCAAGCAAAGGAATAACCATGGCGAAGAACTTGATTTTATAATAATAATATTCGTTGATTCGAAGTAAATACACGGAAAAATAATAAAACGAACGAAGAAGAAACTAAAATATCAGCAACTTAACAAAGAAGAAACTAAATTATGTACAATCTAATCCGATCGACGGTAACAAGTAAAATAAAACAAGGAAATCGTTCATCTACTACATTTCTATTAGCTATTTTCTAACACATTGCCAGCCAAACATATGCTGGCCGGGCGAATAGTCGTCAATTGTAAAATCTTATAGCTTTGCTGTTATGAACCCGGTGACAGTTCCGTATGAAAAATACAAGGACTGACTGTCCCTCTATACATAATCAGCACTCACTAACAGCAGTAGGTATCATAAAGTATAAAAGTACCTATATCCATTAAACTTATTATTTGATGAAACATTTGTAGTAGTATTTTTGTATACTGAGATTTCTACCTGAAGGGTTCTTTAACGCTATAAATTAAAAAAAGGTGTTAAAAACATAAAACTTAAATAAAAATAATTTTAAAATGACAATAAAAATACAACACTTTTTTTAATACATATTTATACTATTTTATTGGTTTTAAATTTAGAACTTAGTGAATACATTAACAATTAAAAAATTTATACAATAACAACATCATGCAAAAACAAAATATATTGATAATGTGTAATTATATATGTAATTTTAATTTATTACTTATAAAACAATGTAAAATCTGACATGACTAGGTTTAGAAAGCAACAAAAACTAAAAAATCACAATTCAGTTGCTTGTGAATTGGTATACAGTAGTGATATTCCCAGCGTAGCTTAGATGTGGCCCAAGGCCGAAAATAGGGGGCACCCAGTGAGGATCAAACTCACTACTCAATCGTAACTGTTCTAGCAAGACAAACTTGCTAACTGTTACACTGCCTTGAGGTGCCCAAAATTATTTTCTAAGTGTAGCTTAGATGTGATACAAGGTCGAAAGTGTGAGGCACCCAGTGTGGATTGAACTCACTACTAAGGTTTAATGGCTCTAGCAAAACTTATTTGCTAACCATTACACTACCTAAATTGGTATACAGTATACACAATGCTGAAATAGGAAATTGTAGAAACTTTGTTTCATTTTATTTAGACTTATAGGAATTAAATCCTATATATATTTTTCAATCAATAAAATCCTATCAGAAGTTTTGTTTGATAAACAATAATTACAAGGGCAAATACTGCCAAAATACTTGGCAGATGTAGTTGTAGACCAACCATGTGTTATTTTTGGATCATTTAGAAAATAACAATAATAACTCCATTCACCATTTCCACAAATTTGAGAAAAAGATTTTCATGAGCCAGTGTGAAATTATTTTCTAACCAATGAAAACCTTATATTCAAAAAGTTCACACCTGTATGCAGAATTAGATTTTGAATCCCCTTATGGATATAAAAATAGAAGGATACTTCTTCTAAAAGTTCAAAACAATTTCAGAGACCAGTTTGTACATATACGTACACACACGCACACAGAATGGAAGAGTGAGCCAGTAGCGACTGACTAAGGAATTATCCACACACACACACAATAGAAGGGATTAACCAGCAAATGCCTACTAAGCATTTATCTACGATCTCACAAACACATTAGGCTGACCATCATAAAGTAAGTCTCTTCACATATCTTACACAATACTATGAAAACTTAATTACTTTTTAAAACAAACTTCACAGCAAGGAAAATTGAAAATTTTATTGCTCTTGTATATTCTATATTGTATATTTGCGGAGGTATGATGGAGCATTGGATAGCAGCTCGATTGAGGAATAGAAGGATTAACCAGCAAATGCCTGCTAAGCATTTATCTACGATCTCACAAACACATTAGGCTGACTATCATAAAGTAAGTCTCTTCACATATCTTACACAATACTATGAACACTTAATTACTTTTTAAAACAAACTTCACAGCAAGGAAAATTGAAAATTTTATTGCTCTTGTATATTTCTATATTGTATATTTGCGGGAGGTATGATGGAGCATTGGATAGCAGCTCGGATTGAGGAATAGAAGGGATTAACCAGCAAATGCCTGCTAAGCATTTATCTACGATCTCACAAACACATTAGGCTGACTATCATAAAGTAAGTCTCTTCACATATCTTACACAATACTATGAAAACTTAATTACTTTTTAAAACAAACTTCACAGCAAGGAAAATTGAAAATTTTATTGCTCTTGTATATTTCTATATTGTATATTTATGGGAGGTATGATGGAGCATTGGATAGCAGCTCGGATTGAGGAATAGAAGGGATTAACCAGCAAATGCCTGCTAAGCATTTATCTACGATCTCACAAACACATTAGGCTGACTATCATAAAGTAAGTCTCTTCACATATCTTACACAATACTATGAAAACTTAATTACTTTTTAAAACAAACTTCACAGCAAGGAAAATTGAAAATTTTATTGCTTGTATATTCTATATTGTATATTTGCGGGAGGTATGATGGAGCATTGGATAGCAGCTCGGATTGAGGAATAGAAGGGATTAACCAGCAAATGCCTGCTAAGCATTTATCTACGATCTCACAAACACATTAGGCTGACTATCATAAAGTAAGTCTCTTCACATATCTTACACAATACTATGAACACTTAATTACTTTTTAAAACAAACTTCACAGCAAGGAAAATTGAAAATTTTATTGCTCTTGTATATTTCTATATTGTATATTTGCGGGAGGTATGATGGAGCATTGGATAGCAGCTCGGATTGAGGAATTCCTCAATCCGAGTTTGAATTCCAGTCGAATCCATTGCATTTACTTACGTGCTAATACCCTTGGAATCCTCTTCTTCTCCCGCCAGATATGGGTAAATAGCAGGACAGACCGGGTTCTATAGCCTTGGATGGCAACTGGTATACTACAAAAAGAAATGGCAACCTACTGTGGGAAAAAATCTGCCTCTTCAGTCATGTATCAACAGATACATGATTGCCTAAACGTGTATCACACATGGCACATAGCTGACTGATATTTCTGAAAAGAATATATAAATGTTATTTCAACTGATGTTCTGTGTCTACTTTTCCTTTAGAAAATAACCTTTTTTGTTTCATTTGAAAAATGTGTTGTTAATGTTAGGAATACTGACACTCAGATAGCAACTAAAACCTGGGTAGACGTATCCCAATAGACTATATTAAATCTGTCATAAGGCTAGAATATATCAAACATCTGATCAAGATAAAACCCATTATGAATTTCACTCCTGTAATATCCCAGCAACAGAAGGGAGATAACCCCTAGAAACACAAGAGTTAGGTCCCCTCCGGACATCCAGAATCTTAATCAGCAGCTTGGCAGCAAAAGGGGAATAGGAGGCCACCATGACCCGAGGGACAATCAACAACCATCCTAACATCCTATCAACGCATTAATCAGTGCCTAGCAAGCATCAATAGCCTCTTGCGCAGAACATTACATTGGCGACGAGGACTGAGTCATTACCCTCACAAAAACAGAACATCAACACACTTAAAAAAAAAAAAATTCAACACGTGTTCGATATACAACCAATATGGCCACTGTACCACACTACCCCGAATTTGATTGTGAGTCAACAGCCAAAGCAGCAAGATGGACAAAATACATAAAAAGACTGAAAAACTATTTTGTCATACATAACATTGAGGATGACAAACGGCAAAAAGCAATCTTACTAACGTTTGTCGGCGAGGCTACAAATGACATCATCGACGAAATACCACAGGAGTGAGTCACACCGGAAAAAAATGAAACACATTTCGACAAACTTGTCTCAGCGGTGCACAACCACTTCAACCCTGAAAACAACACAGAATACAACCGATTCATGTTCCGAAAAATTAAACAAAATAGCCCAGGCATTGAAGAATTCTACTGCAAACTAAAGGAAGCTGCGGCTATGTGCCGTTTTTCCGACATGGATTCCGAGGTGAAGTCCTAATTAATTACAGGCTGCCTGTCGGAAAAAGTCCACCAGAAGGGACTCATGAACTCAGATATGTCACTACATGACTTAATAAACTACGCAAGGACAATGGAGACGATAGCGTCACACCTACAAACAATGCGACTGGAAGACAACAACATCGCTACTGCTACAACCGCCCCAATAAACAAAGTCGCAGACGAACAGCGCCAACCAAGCAACTATCTCCGGCAATACCAGTGCAGGAATTGCAACGGAAAATACACTCATGAGCGGGGACCGACGTCTTACCCTGCATTTCATACCCAGTGCACATACTGCGGAAGGTGGGGACACTTCACCTCTGTCTGTTTCAGAAGATTAAACGACGGAAACAGACAACAGGAAACAAATCGTCCCCCACGAACACAGACCAATCGACGCTCAGTGAACCGCATTAAAAACGACCAATGGAACCCACGTAGCAGTGGTAGTGATACAGAATACGTGTTCCACACAGCTGGAGCTCAGAACTTGCCACCTCCAATTGAAATGGATACTCCAGCAAACAGGAGTTCATCTTTATTTTGGAGGCTTCCCAACCAAATAAAAGGGCAACTTGATGAACAATCACAAACTCTCCACAAAATCAATTCCACAGTCCAGAAACTTGAAGCTGAAAACGCTCTTTATAAACAAGAATTGATGACCGCCCACACCAATATTCACCAGTTATCATCTCTTTTGGATAACGAATGACGAAAATCCCATTTGTCTTTGGAGAGACACTTCATCCAAATGCAAGAAATGCTGTGCACAGAAATGAAGAGAATGTTACATGAAATAAATGAATTGAAGCTTAAATCTGTCTATATTTCTGAGATGAGGTATTATGTACAGTATTTACATTAGTTGGACTATTGTCCTCATCTTTGTCGCCATATTTGTCACAACGTTTCGGCCATTGTATGCTCCAGCCTTCTTCAGGTGGTAGGAATTTCGAACTGAACCCAAAGAAGGTGAGTTCAATTCCTGGTTAAGGCAGTGGAGAACTTTCAGAGGGAAAATTAGCAGGAGATAACTGAAAACTGACATCCATCAAACATGGCACGTGGAAATAGAACAGTCTACCCCAGTGATCGAAATAAAGGGTTCAGTTCGAAATTCCTACCACCTGAAGAAGGCCGGAGCGTACAACGGCCGAAACGTTGTGACAAATATGGCGACAAAGATGAGGACAATAGTCCGACTAATGTAAATACTGAAGCTTAAATGTTATCAACAGAATTTTCCTGCCACTCCTTCATCAACTTATACGCAAACTGCTTCTAGCAGTTTCCAACAAAGCAAGAGATTGTCACAAAATGCAACATATTTGCATCCTCAAAATGATGTTTATGAAGACGCTCTCAAGTTTTATCAAAAAGTTAAGAAACGTCCAACAACAGTTGCTTCAACAGATTTTCAAAATCCATTGTACTCCTCTTCAAATGTCCAACAGATGTCAACAAAATGTAAGTCGGCGCCTTGTCCACAACCGTCTGTGCCAGAGCCACAAGTCATGTCTCCTCTCAACTCCACCCAGAAAATGCTACACCTTAGACAGTCATGCAAGAAAATTCATAACAAAACCTCTAGAACTGATGCCAACCATTCGAAAATGTCCAACACTTCATCTGACCAAGACCTTGATTCTTCTCCAAACCAGACCATAACTATTTCTTCCACTCAGAATCTTACATTGCAGGGTGATGAAGAAGATCTTCATTCTGATTATTCCAATTTTGATTTGCTTGATTCTCGCAGCTTTGGAAAGTCCGAAGATGGCTTGGAAAGTAGCTCATCCGAATATTTGGCTTTAGAATGGCTGTGGCCAGACCAAAAAAAAAAAACCCTCTCAAAAGAAAAAAAAGAAAGAAAGCATTGTAATATCCCAGCAGCAGAAGGGAGATAACCCCTAGAGACACAAGAGACATCCAGAATCTTAATCAGCAGCTTGGCAGTAAAAGGGGAATAGGAGGCCACCATGACCTGAGGGACAATCAACAACCATCCTAACATCCTATCAACACATTAATCGGTGCCTAGCAAGCATCGATAGCCTCTTGCGCAGAACATTACAACCCCAACATCGACAGACTGCATTTCCTAAGCCTTAAGGTTTTCAATAACAAGAGAATGAGTTTAAAATCACAATTTGTTGAAAAGTTGTATCTTTTTGTTTTCTAAAACTCTAAGAAACAAAACAATTTGTTTTATTCTGCGTTTCTATCACAAATAAATCAAATTGCTACAATATCTGGGCTGGAGCTGCCCAGTTCTCATTTGCCTGTCTTGACAGAATTCAAAAGTGTCTAGATGGTCTTGTGGGTGATAAATTATTTTCTACCCTACAACTCCTTTCCCACAGACAAAAAGTCATAAGCCTCTCACTATTCCCATGGTTTATGTTCTGATAAGATGCACTCCTTAATCCTGCCACCATGAGCTCTACAACTGGGACCTGCCATGCCACATATACAAGTGTGAATCATCTTCATTCCCTTTGTATTCCAATAGTAAGAATTTCAATTCGAACAGCTTCGTCCCAAGAACTGCTGCTTTGTGGAACAGACTCCAAGGAGGATATTTTTCCCAATCACTACAATCTTGAGCTCTTCAGGTCTAGGGTTAACGATTACCTTTCCTGAACCACATGAACTTCACATTGCTTTTTCTTATGCTCATACAATGCCACGCAACAGCCCTCTAACTTGAGTGGCTCTTGGGCCTTAGATTGGATGAACATTAATATAAAAAAAATGAGATGGATATGAATAAACTGAGCTAGAAATGAACCAGATACATAAATAAATAGGAACATACTGGATAGATAGATAGATAGATAGATAGATAGATAGATAGATAGATAGATAGATAGATAGAATATACAGATTGCAATGGATAAATTGTCAACTAAATTATGCAAAAATGAAAATAACACTGACATCTCATTTTAACAGATATATTTACCTAAATTACACAAACAGATCATGAAATACTAAAGAGTAAATTTATTCAATAAAATTGCAGTTGGCTTCAACAACAGTCTCCAGACGACTTTGGAATCTCTTGTATCTCTTCTGGATGGTCTCCTTATTTAAGTTTGTGAAAGCTGCCATAATCTTTGCCTTCAGTTGCTCTTTGGTGTTACAAGGAGTTTTGTTAGTCTCTCACTCAACTACACCCCACACATAATAATTAAAGAGGTTTCAATCTGGGAAGTTAGATGGCCAGATGTAAGGGGTGATGTGGTTGCAGAAATTGTCTGACAGCCATGATTGGGTTCTCCTGTTTGTTTGGTATGGCACAGAGTCCTTTTGGCAGATATAGGGTCTTCCAGCAGCCACCCTCTTGGCCTAGGGCAGCACTACCTCCTCAAGGCTCTTGATATAGGCTTCCATGTTGAGTCTGAGGCCCTCACCAACAAATTCAGTAGTTCTTTCCTTATCAGAATGATTAGAGTGAGTTTTCCGAGCTGCCATACCTTCATAATCACCATTAGACTCATCCAACTCTTTCCAAATCCTCTGCACTATCCTTAGATTCACACCCAAACACTCTGAAATGTCCATATTGGAGCATGTTGTTTCCAAATTTCTGACAGAGTGAATTGCCTCATGGTGCTCTTTTTCTCATAGACAGTGCCCAACTGACCCTACTATACTGTAAAGTTGACAAAATCAAAAACAAACAATATGCATGCATGAAATTAAAAATATAAAGTGGTAACAATTTACCCATCACACCCTACATATATATATATATATCTGTCCTGGACATTGAGTTCTACCAGGATTCTATCCTCTTGGAATTATTTTTTAGACATATATATATGTATATGTATGTATGTATGTATGTATATATGTATGTATGTATGTATGTATGTATGTATATATATTTATATATTTTATATATATGATTGCATATGTATATTTTTTATATTTACCACTATATATATATATATATATATATATATATATATATATATATATATATATATATATATATAGAGAGAGAGAGAGAGAAAGACTCACATTGCCTAACTACCAACAAAAATAATGGAAGAATTGAGCTACTCTCAATTTATAAATATAAACTCTTTTACAATTCTAAAGATAACTTATCAAATGATATTCCAAAATATGAAAAAAAATAAAAATAAAAAGATGTTTGGTCTCATCAAATCAGTTGCATTTCATGAAACACATTCAAGATAGATAGATATACGGGGGGGAGGGCTTAAAAATCTCAGACCAGCCATTTCTCAAAATCTGATCAAATGACTAAATGTCAGATAGATGACCATAAGTAATTTTTGCCATGAAAGCTTCTCAAAAATGCTCAAAATAATCTTTAATTCAAGTTTTTAACCATATACTTTCCAGCTGAAATTAACCTATTTCAACCTATCTCATTAAAAGCTCTTATAATATTCAAGGAAAATAACCCAGAAAGTTTATAATTTTACATAATGTGATGAGACTTTGATAGAGACATTTATAGAACAAGGATATATGGAAAGAGATGAGAAGAGAATTTTTTTTATGTTGGCAATTGGCATGGTGTTACTGGGATGAATTAGAAATATTTTTTAAAAATTGTTTGAGAAATTAAAATAAACATTTCATACAAAGGTCTTTTATATTATCAATAAAACATAAGAATTTATAAGGAAAATGTGTTTGGAAAATTAAACTAAAATATTTTATTTGAAAGATCTTTTTTAAGAGGAACATTTAAAAAGCTCCCCTAGTTCTATATTCTGATAAATGTGAGTCACCAGCTTGGAAGGAAATAGGCACTAAATATTAACACGAAAAACTAATAATGAAAACTGTATTTCACAATATCATTTTGGGCAAAATTTGTGTAAAGTCAAAACTAAGTTAAAACCAGACAAGCTTAAAAACTCAAATTTGGTAAAACTCAGCCTGATTCGTTGATAAATTCTCTGTGTCTAAAATACAAACCCTGCTATTTACCTTGAGCTCTTTCATAAAATCCAAAGAATCAGCAATATCATCAATCCTGATCTGGCAGCTCAGCTTCAGTTAATCTCCCAACGTCATAATGTTGCCTCTCTGTGCCTTTTCTATAAATACTTTCAACATAATTGTTCAGATGAGCTCTTCGCTATGGTATCTAGACTTTTTGAATTTAAGCGCAGTACTAGACTGGCAGTGAGATCTCATCAATTTACGGTAGAGTTGGCTTGATGTAGCCATAAGTTCTATGCTAACAGTTTCTTTACTTGCACTTCTTGCCTGTGGAAATCACTTCTGGCTCTATGCTTTCAAGCCAACTTTAATCTGCAAAAAACAATTTTTCTGTTTGCTCACATTTTGGGAAATGAGTTAAGCAAAGAATCTTTCACTGACCTATATATATATATATATATATACATATATATATATATATATATACTGTAAAAGTCTAGTTAACTCTTTATATAAGTAGGTTCTTAAATGAAAAAAACAGGGCAATATGCTTCATTAAACAGTCTTAGACCAACAAATAACTGCCAATCTACAAAGGAAAAAAGATTAAAGACTTTTACAGATCCTAGAAAAGAATGTCTTTGTCCTTGCAACTTGAATCCAGCTTCCACTGTATGACTCCATTTTATTTGCCATTGCAATGGAATGTCTCTTTGTTCATATTCTTCTTTGGTGTCATTTGTTAATTTGTCTCATCACTGCCTTCTTTTTTTCTCTCTT